GCGATAGGACTCATGAAGAACAGCAGGTGCGAATCGATGAAGTTCGACAAGTGAAGTTGAGGAATTGATGAGTTCTAAGTTGATTTGTCGCTTTTCGCTTAACACGCACTAGCGCAAAGCTTGTGTCAGTCAACCCCTAACCTCGTGCTGCGCGCGTTGAGTCAGCCAATCAATTCCAACCACCTCGCGAGTTCGCTTGCTTGTATCACCATTGCCAAAATAAGCAAAACCATGCTACACGATTGTGCGTTGAGGCTGAGGGCGGAGAAGCTGATTGAACTTCGCTTTCTTCTTCTCATATACTCCTGAGTATCCCCATCATCACCACCATCTTCATCATCATTACCATCACCATCACCATCACCGCTGCTGTCGCCTAAGCGGCCACTGCCAGGATGGAAGCAGCAAACCCATATCAACCGCACCCCCAGCTCCCACGTGCTAAGACAATTAGCCCGAGTGGGGGATCTGCCGGCCAGTCATATCAATATCATCAACAGCATACGCCGACACCGCAACAACAACAGCAGCAGCAACAATCGACGGAACAGCAACAATTTTCATATGCAACCCGCGGCGGCGGCCAGCCGAGCAATGATGCATATCAATATCCGCATCAGCAAATTCAACAGATACAGCAGCAGCAGGAACAGCAGCAAATATCTCCGCAGCAAATGCAGCAAATGCAGCAACAGCAGCTTCAGCAGCCGCAAATTCAACAGCAGCAGATTCAGCAACAGCACATCCAGCAACAGCACATCCAGCAACAGCAACAGGTTCACCAACGTCAATTATCCCAACCCTGTCAGTATTCCCGGGGGGTCGCTCCAAGCCAACAACAGCCAGCCGGAATACATACAAATGATAATACCGTCTACGCTTCACAGTTTGCGCAACAAAACCAAGACCACCCGAATCACGACGCACCTGTTCCGGCCAACAGCCCTCTGCATCAGCAACCGCAACAGAGCATACACGTGAGCATCCCACCGCAACTACCGCCGGGATGGGATGCACACTGGGATCAGACACACCAGAGATACTATTACCACAATGCAGCGTTGGGGCAGACTACTTGGGAACCGCGTGAGTAACCACTAGATTGTACAATGTAAATGCTGATATCAAACTTCCAGCACAAGCCCAACCACAAGCACCTATACAGCATGCCCGAGCAAACACATTCCCCCAGCAGTCCCACACACCCGCTCCATCCCAATCTCCGCATTTCCCACAACAGCTCAATCAGCAGCGTTTACAGTCACCTATCCAACTCCGTGCCAGTCCAACGCAAATCGCCCAACATCTACCGCACCCTCAGAGCCCCGGAGCACTAGATGGGGTCAACCGCCCACAAGGTGTCCAAACACCAGCCAATCGCGCGCGAGTCCCGGTCAAGAGGGTTCCATTGCCAGTCGCTACTAATGTCGAATTGTGCGGAGAATCCGCAATTCCTGTCCCAGTGCCAGCTTCGACGCCTGTTCAACCGCGTCCACATGCTGCACCCGAAACAATAGCTCCGAAGCCAGAGCCACAGCAGCAGCAGCAGCAGCAGCAGCAGCAGCAACAGCAGCAACAGCAGCAACAGCAACAGCAGCAACCGCAGCAACAGCCACAACAACAAAAGCAGCAGCCACCTCAGGTTTCCACCCCACCATCTCATCCTGCGACGGCCGCCCCAGTGCCAGGAACTCCAACATCTCCTCGCAATGTGCAACGCGGCGGGTCTTTTGTTGCAGAAATTGGGCAAACGAGCCCTGAACAATCCACGCGTTCGCCTAGTCAGCAGCCACAACCGGTTACCACTTCACAAAAAATCACCCGGGATTCCCCAACAGGAGCGTCCACCACATCCACAGAACCGACCCAGACCCAGACCCCTATACCCTCCAAAGACGTCACCGAAAAGCCCGCAACTCCTCCGTCCTCAGAAAAGAAGCAACCTAGCAACATCGACCCGTCCGTCTCGCCGCTCATCCGCACACCCCCTCCAGAACCTAGGCCTCCGCGAAAGTCCCCGCCTGCTCTCACCTCGTCTGACGTTCCCATCATGTCCTCCACAACATTTGGCCCAGTGTCCATAACTGAAGATCCTTTCTACCCTCCACCAAAACCAAGCACCCCGCCTCCACAGACTGAGGGAGCCCCTAAGATGTCGGCAACCTTTGGGTTCGGTATGGATGATGACAATGAGTTTGCAGGGTTTGTTGTAACGACGGGGTTGGATGCCCCGAAGGGTCAGGGAATGACTACGACGACCATTCTCCGTGTTCCTGCGGACCCTGATGAGGGGAGGGATGGCGATAGTGGTGGCGGTAGTCCCTTGTCGATTAAGAATCCGAAGCCGACTATTCCTCCGGGCGCAATGAGTGTGCCGTTATTACACCGGGGGAGCGTTAGTTATGGGAGTCCGACACCGCACCCGCAACAGCAGCAGCAGCAGTTGCAGCAGTTGCAGCAGGTGGGTATGCAGCCGGGAGCGCAAATGCAAGTGTTTCCGCAGCAGCATCAACTACCACCGTTAGGCCAAATTCCAATGAATTATCAACAGGCGAATATGCAGATGGGGATGCAACCGCAACAGCAAATGGGAATGCAGCAGCAACAACAAATGCTACCCTTCCAACAACAACAAGTCCAGCAGCAGCAGCAGCAACAGCAGCAAATGCAGCAACAAATGCAACCCTTCCCGCAACAGCAAGTCCATCTGCAACAGCAACAAATGCAGCAACCACTCCAACAAGGTTTAACAATGCCCCGACCCGGCACGACGATGCCGACGCGGAAAGTTGTCGGTGCGGTTATGCAACCCCAGAATCAGCAGCGACCGATGTCAGTTCAGCAGCGTCGTATGTCAACATCACTGACGCCCCAACCCTCGTCCGCCTACCCACAACTGCAACAGCAGCAACAAAACTCATACCAACAAAAAGCCGTGCAGGGAATGCAAGTGGCGGGCCGAGCGACACAGCAGGGTCTGCAGCAGTCGATAATAGTCGCACAGGCTGCGACCAAGAAGCTCAAGAACAGCAACATCTGGAAAGATCCCAGCCTGCTGATTCCGAAGCCGAAGAAGAAGCCTGTTACCCAACAGTCGCAGGGGAGAGGACAGCCAATGGCTAGAGTGAGAGGACAACCCATGGCTAGAGGGAGAGGGCAGATGGTAGCGAGGGGGAGAGGGCAGATGGTTGCGAGGGGAAGGGGTGGCATGGTTCAGGCGAGGGGTGGGCTTATGGCTACTGGAGGAGTGATGGTGGGTGGGGGCGTTATAATTCAGCAACAGCAACCAATGCAGGGCGGTATGGTGATGCAAAATGGTATGCCAGTGCAGCAGCAACAGTTTATCCAGCAGCAACCGATGGCGCAAAACGGCATCATGGTTCAGTCGAACGGGATGCCAATTCAGCCGAATGGCATGCCACTACAACAACAGCAACAACTGGCGGTGGTGGGGCAACCAGCAGCCACAGTCGGCAGCATGGGGATGCAAATGGCGATTCAACAAGGTGTGATGCCGGTACAGCAGAATGGAGTGCCCATACAACAGCAGGTCGGCGTCATGCCACTGCAACAACAACAACAGCAGCAGATGCCATTGCAGCAACAACAGCAATTCCAGCAGATAAATATGCAACAGCAAATTCAACATAACCCCATGAAGCCGACGTTCTCCTCCACCGACCAACAAGTCCAGGTAAATGTGAACCCGAACGTCCAAACTACCACCCAATTGGGACCCGTCAATCTCAACATGCCCCAACTTGGAGCTGCACTAGTCAATTCTATTACTGGCGCTGGTCGGGGTCAAAGCCGGGGCCGGGGAGTAGTGAGAGGAGCGGGGCGGGGAGTGGGACGGGGAGCAGGACGGGGAGCGGGGCGAGGAGCCGGGCGGGGAGCAACGACACAGCAGCAACAAATGCAGCAACAACAGGCGCAGATGATAATGCAGAATATGCTGATCCAACAACAGCATCAACAGCAAATGCAGCATCAACAGCAAATGCAACAGCAACAAATGCAACAGCAACAAATGCAACAGCAGCAGCAACAACAGCAACAGCAAGACCCAACGCAACAACAGCAGCAGCAAGACCCAACGCAACAACAGCAGCAGCAAGACCAAACGCAACAACAGCAAGACCAAACGGTCTACGACCAGCAATCCAACGAGGCAGCATACGCCGATACAACCTACACAGAAACAACCTACACCGACACCTCCGGCGGTGGCGGAGAAATGACATACACCGAGACGACCGTCGACCCCAACACCGGCTACTATGAGGAGAGCACAGTGGTGTACACCGAAGACCCGAATGGTGGCGGAGAGTTTTATGCAGCCGAGGAGACGGGGTATGTCGACGATGGTAGTGGGGGATATGTTGATGACGGTAGCGGGGGGTACGTCGATGACGGTAGCGGGGGGTACGTCGATGACGGTAGCGGGGGGTACGTCGATGATGGTAGTGGGGGATACGTCGACGACGGCAGCGGCGCCGGAGGATACGACGAGACTGGCGATTATGGGTATGATGTTGGTGGGGACGTTGGAGGGGACTACGTGTACGAAGACCCAGGCGTGGATGGAGGGTGCGGGGACTTTAGTGGAATGGGGGATATGGATTTGAGTGGTGTGGATTTGAGTGGAGGGGACCCGACTGGAGGGATTACGGATATGCTGGGAGGCTTTGACTTGACGAGTTTGCTTTGATTTGGATTTGGGCATTGGGCATTTTAGCAGGGGGTTTTTTTTTTTGTTTATGCGGCATCCGTATATGTGAAATTCGAGGACTAATACCTATCTTCAGAGTGACTGCATATGAACATCGAACGGTTGCAATTGCAGGTTGGTCATGAATATCGAAGTGAGCGAATGCAGAAACTTATGAGAAGAGATAGCCCCGTACTCTCCATTAGGACCCGCCAAATTTCCAACACGCAATCTCCACAATATCTAAAAGTATGTATCCCTTCCTTGGTTACCGTGTCCACAAAAAGAATGATCACTGCAGGGGTCGAACCTGCGACCTTGGCGTGTTCTAGCTTAGTATGCTATTAGCACCACGCTCTAACCAACTGAGCTAAGCGACCTGTTCTTATTGGCTGACGTGGTCTTGGTAAGTATCAATTGGTACACATCAGATCCACACCTGCATTCGATGATTGTTTGGAATAGTCGATGCACCCGCTGGATCAACACCGAATTCCATGGGAGTTTTCTCGTCATAACAATCAGGATTTCCCACTCCCCCCCCCCATTAAGCTAGAGTAACCCCCATATCGTTATCGGAAATCCCCGGGGTTCTTGGTTTATCAAAACAAGATCGACATTAGGATTGACGTAGGCCCGATCAAGATGATGATCAATCAATAAATCAAGTATCACTAGGAGAATTTTTTAGGTTTTGGATTTTGGGTCAACAGCCCGGCCTTTTTGAGAGCAATACCCGGGGGGGGAGGGGGGGGGGGGGGCGTTCATGATCAGCGGCGACGGGGAATCCGCGTTATGGAAAACTTAGCGGCGGCGGACTTGCAGAAAGGAGTTGCAAAAACCGGACAGATATCT